ATTTACATTTTTTTTGAATTATTCTCACTTGAAAACATGGCTAATAACAATTTTTTTTTACCAAATCATGTGATACCAAAAAATAAATACAAATATGTCTATAATAATAGGAAAAAAAAATAAAAATTGCTGATTTTGTTTTTCAAAAATTAGATGATCAGTTTTTTTTGTCAATATTTGATGTACATGTCAAACAGAGCGACAATGTAAATATAGTTTGTTTTTTCTTTCTTCGAATCAGTACAAAAAAAAAATGAAATAATACTTAAAATATGAATCGAAAAGGTCAAACAAAAGGTGTCTGTATTTCGTGTAGTAATACAAAGAAACAATGACAATCTATTTTATACTTTTTTTTGTAGATTCGAATTTAATAATGCATGCATACATAATTAATACTATCTATATATAGATATATCTGATATATACATATGAGTTTATTCTTTGTTTTCCTTATTTTTCTCTTTTGCGCACTTTCTAGTCATGTTTTCTTCTCTTTGTCGTTAGACAAAGTTTTTTTTTTTTCTACAAGATATATAGATGTTTGCATATTCCATACTTATTGACCTAAATGATAGTGTGTTTTGTGTCTGTCTTTTTTGTGTTAAATGACATCCATAGGAGTTCGAATATGCCTTTCTTTTTCTTCTTGTTGCTTGCATGGTTGCACACAATCCATTCTTTTTCGTATCCGTCCGCTCTGTTTCTTCTTTTTCTTTTTCTCCAGTTCTTTTTCATTCTTTCGGTTTCTTTCGCTATTACACGCATTTCTTTCCTTTTACTCTCAGCCAGTCAGCCAACAAGTGAGTCTATTCGTTGTGAAAAGAAAAAATATCAGTCTGTGCGCTCATACCATTCAGTTTCATGAGATGAAGGAGTCGAAGAGGAAAAAAGGGATGAAGAGTCGAATAAGAAAAACGCACTGCTGTTGTTATTGTAACTAACACTTTACCTTCTCGTTTAAAAGTTTATGGGTGTGTTTATTTCTATATACTTGTCTAACTCAGCGTTATGAGAAAGCAAACACTTTTTATCAGTTTTTACTTTTAATATCAAGTGTGCGAATGCATATGTTATCGATATCAGACTACACGTCTTCATAAGAGTGCAAATCTCCACTAATAATATCTGTTTGTTCATTAGTCTATCGATATTTATAAATAGATATGAATATAGATTTCTTCGTTTAATATTAACTTTTATTTTGTAAAAGAAATTATATTACTGTCTCTTGAATAAAAATAAATGAAGGAAAAATAGAAAGTACTTAAAACAAAAAAGGAAGTAAATGCTTCAATGCGAAATTTACTTATTCATTTATTTTATGATAAAAAAGTTCAGTTTTCCAATAATTACTAAAAATCGATAGACTGGTAAAATATGAATAATTTTCAAGCGCATATCTATTGTAAGACTTTACGATCTGAGAGGAAAAATAGATGAAAGTTTTAATCAAATAAAACTGTGTCTATATTTTTCTTTTCTTTTCAGATCATCTTAGCTTATACAAAAGTATGTACTTGTCAAGTATGGATGAAGGAAACAGTGTTGATGTTGACGATAACTCACAAACACGACAAGGAACAACACCGCCTGTTACTTCTAATGTATGTAACATTTAATTTTACTTTTTTCTGCCATTCTATTCTTATTAATATCAATCGTATAGAAAAAAAATGATGCTTACATATATTTTTCATTTGATTTTCTACTTGATTGCTTTATTAGCCGTCACAATCTTCGTCACCATCTTGTCCTACTTTACTTGTCATAGACGATAATTCATATTCTAATGATATATCGCTAAATACAACTGACATTCCAACAGATTCTGCGCTTTCTCCCGCTCAAATAAATAATGTTCAAGGAACATCATCTTCTCCGTTGCCTACCATAGGTAAATTATTGTTAACTAAAGCAAAAAAATAGATGTTTTACAAGACAACATCTATTAAATGTACATATATTTAGAGCATTCAGAAGATACACCTGCACAACAACGTCGTCGAACTTCATCTGTAGCAAAACTCCTTGGTGGTCAACCATTAAATAATCAACAATATGAAGGTTAACTATTTATTTACAATCAAAGTTCTTTCATTTTTATTTTTTGATTTCTTATAGAAATTAACCAACAAATCCTTGATGATCAATCAACTCAAAGTGTAACTAATAATAATGATAATGGATCAGAGACAGGAATACAACGTTCACGCAGTTCTATTACAAGAACTTTACTAATGAATACAGGTAAATAAAATTATTATACATGTATATTATCATTTTCTTTGTTTTTCCTTTATTTCTTCATCTTAAGAACGAAGTGATAATACATCGAAGATGACAATAACAAAAGCACGACCATCATCACCAGAATATTCAAAAGACTTTGAATATTTAATACGTCGAGAACTTGATGTTGAACATGCACCATCAACACTTACTAGAAATAGTAAGTTTATATCTTCTTACAATAAAACACAATCATTTGTTTTATGTGTAATAGGTTCGACACCTAGCATATTTCAGAATCTCTCTAGCGCTCGTAATACACCTAATAATGCTCAAGCATTGTTACAATCAAAATTAAAACGAAAAAGGTAAACTAAACAAAAGTTAAAAATCTATTTATTTTGAATTTCTTTTCTTGAAATACTTTAAAGAGTCACTCCGAAACAACCAGTGTCAACACCACCACCACTGAATAAATCATCAAATAGTGCTCCATTTACTATACGTGATCCATTTGAACTTGATTGTTCAGCATCATCGTTAAATTCAACATCAAGTCATCGTCCTCATCATCATCAAAATGATTTATATCGTTTCGATACATCACATCATCATCATTCTCATCATCAAAATCAACAACAACAACAACAACAATATTCATCACCAATAAACAGTTCAACAACTAATTCAGCTCCATTTACTTATCATAAATTAAATCTAAATTCACCAGCCTATGCACAATTTAATATTCATCATAATCACTTATCTACAACACCTTGTTCATCTTCATCTTCCTCATCATCATCACCATCATGCAATTGTTGTCGTTATCCTGTGACAGCTGAACTAGCATTACCGACTCCCGTTTCACCTTTATCACTTAATGCATCATCGCCTTCTATTGTACCACATCAAACAATTGCGACGTCATCACGTAAAACTAAAGTAAATATTGCGAGAAGAAAGAAGAAAGAAAAATATGTTGTTATCGAAATCGTTTTTAGCTCGAAAAAGGGAAAGTAGGACAAAACTGATTTGTACTGTCATGAAAAAAAAAGCAACAACGAAAAAGTTGTCTTTATATATATATATATTATTAGAAAAAAATTAATAAAGAATTCTTCGCAATAATATACGACGGATAAAAACAAATGTTAAAAGTTCCTTTCCTAGTTAATGTCCTCTAAAGTACCTTTGAGAGACATGGACATAAAAAAAAGATAACAATTTTGAAAAAAAGCTATTTGATATGACAGTAAATTAAAAAGAATTTATATTTTGCTTTTCCTTCAGCGTATAAATCGAGGATCTTGACAATTAGCCTGTTTAAAATAAAAATCCATAAAGTAAATTGTTATTCCTAAATTTATAATGATGTCTTGTATTATTTTCAATTTTAAAAATGGTTCTTAGCTAAAATAAAGTAGAAAAAGTTTTTTAATATATATTAGTTTGACTGAGTACTTTTCTTATTAAAATATATTCCTGGCTAGTTATAGTATGACATAAATATGTTTTTATTTTATTATTATTTATTGAAATCATATAACATTAAGATCATTTTATCTATTGTACTTAAAAGGATTATTTCTCGATGTGTTCTATCGATAGCGATTCTGATATTTTTATTAAATAATATACTACCATCGACAAACTACTTATGAATCATATTTTTGATGAGCACATGCATGGGTAGTCAACTGCAAAAATCACATGATTCTCAGAAGATTGTTTCGTCTATAGAACTTTACAGAGGTCGTTATGCTGATCATTTTGGTAAAATAATCTTCAAATTGAATCAATAAATCATGGTACTTGGACTAAAATACTTAAAAACTTTGGCTATTCCTGACTGTTATTGAGCGATAGTCGATGTTTTCAAGTGTTTTGGTCCTGGCACTATGATTTATTGAGTATATTTGAATATTTGTATTTATCAAAACGATCGATGCATTGCATTCCACACACGAAAATATTTTCTGAAAACCTTGTGGTTTTTTACAGTTGACTATCCATGGAAGTATCGATTAAAAATACAATTCACAAGTATAATATCTTTGTTACATATCAAAACAGGCTTATTTTAATCTGTATGTGATCATGTTAATCTAACACATTGAACTAGAACTAATATCATTTGTTTAATTCGAACCATTGTATGTATTGTACTGTTAATAAAATTTCATGGAAAGGAAAATCAGCGTCGTCAGATGAGAATATTATTTATGAAAATAAAACAGGCAAATTTTGTAGAAAAATATTTGTGACATTCCTAATAAAATCCATTCATTGGACATTAAGTGCAAGAAAAAAAAAACATATTTTTGATTGATTCAAAACAAAAATTAGGCTATGACATTTGCTGCTAATAATTTGTTTTCTGTTTGTTTATTTTAAGGCGACACATAATCGACCAGATATATATGAAATTCCAATGCAACGATCACTTTCTACCATATCTAATCCATCGAATGCCTCGTTATCGTCACCACCATTATCATCTGGTCACAGTGTACCATTAAAAAAACGTTTACTTCATGCCTATAAAAATGAACAACGTCCTTCATCATCTCTGTGATTACTCCTTGTTTTTGTTCTTCCTTTTTAACTACGGGAAAACATAAATCTCATTATCATACCAAACAGAAAAAAAAAGTATTTTCATATATATTTTTCTTTATCTTCGTTTTTGTTGAATGTATAAAAGTTATTTGATGTCATATGTCCATAACATAGACCACAGAACACAAAAAAAACTATTATTTATATCACAAATTATTAACAAATTTTGCGTAGATTTCATCAATAGTCACCGTTGACTGATTAAGTTTAAGAATGAATTCTCGTAATGGTAAACATTTAACAACATTATTTTGATTGTTATCAAATTTTTGCATTAATAATTCAATTTTATTTGAATGCATTTCAATTATTGATTTATGTAGATGAGTCAAACGGGATTTTGAATAAAACTGTTGGAGAAACTTTTGAGTGTGAATTGGTTGTTTTTGTAACCATTGAATATAGTTCGTTACACGAGAAGAATTTGTCTAAAAAAAAAGCAAGAAAAAAATGAATTCTGAATTTTTTAGAAACCCAAAAAAAAAAGAAAACATTTTAATAGATATTTTTCTTTGATGCTCTGCTGAAAAATGCTAATTCTATTATTTTTGTCACTATGATTGTTTTTTATGATTAATTACTTCGGTTATTTCACATTGGTTTCATAGTTCACTGAATATTGTAATGTGTGATTCATTCTTACATCAATTTTCAAGTACTTTATCAGAGATTTAGAAACAACTCATAAAAACGATCACAAACATATATATAATAAAACATATGAAAATAATTAAAAGAAACTTTTAATGCCTCTGTGACTATTGAAGATTAGTGTGTATAAAAATAATATATTCTTTTTCATTTGATACGAATGATTATTATTGCTAACAGTTACTTTTTGATTTGTTTGTTTTGTCTTTTCAGTCGATTGTACTTTAGTTAATTGCGAATAACGTTGTCGACATTGAACAGCTGATCGATTAGGTAGATGACTAGCAGCTAATGTTGACCAACAAATTGATGAAGTTTGATTGGCATGTTGAAGTAAAATAGCATCCTCGTCTGGTGTAAATGAATTTTTTTGTATATCAGGATTAAGATATGTCCATACATGAGTTATTTCACGTAAACATCGATCACCAAGTAGATAAGCAGCATAAGAAACACAAAAACGATAATCTTTTATTACTGAACAACGATATTTGTACATGGATAAAAGAAGATCTTTTTCAGTTTGTGTAAAACGTCTAGAACATTAAAAAAAAAAAAGAAGTAGTGCATTTTTATGTCTACGAACAAAATTTTATAATGAAATGGTCATTTCTTTTTGCTTCTATGTCTTCTCGAAGATTCTCATCAAGTGTTCTTACAGATTAACAAATAAAAATACATATACATTTGTGTCACTACAGAAAATGATGAATGTCAATCTAGTTTAAACACAAAATTTTCAAGTTTGCAAACTACAGTGTGTTATTTTGATGAACTGCTTTTTCACACTAATAAGAAATGTTAAGATGAGTAAACCTATAATTATATACATGTGAATAGTCAATATATTGAAAAATAGTATGGTATTGCTAAAGGTTTGAGAACATGTCTATAGAAAATTGACTCTTTAAAAGAGTGAATATTGTTTTTTGTTTTTAATTATATTAATAAAAATTAGACTTGCCATATATTTGAAATATTAATTTGAATCTTTAATTACGTTATATCGCACATGACCTAGCAAAGTTTTAAGAAACGCATTCTTAGTTTCATCACAAGATTCTTGGAGAATGTAAGACGAGAAGCTGAATAATATTCAATTAATTCTAGCACCGTTGATGCTTTTTATTTGAATGTTTAAGATTATATTTAAAGAAAAAAGAAAGTTCAAGGCTGAATGGTTAATTTAGAGTATGTGATGAAGAAAATCTTTAAATTAAATTTTGACATTTTCTCAAAACGTACTTTCACTTTAGAACTCACACTGACATGTCTGCTAATAATCTATAATTATGTTATTTTTTTATGTATTCTTATGTGTCAATTATCAAATAACGCATATTCCTTGGTTTTTATGCACACTAATTATAATTTTCTTGAAACCAGAAGAAAGCAAAATGTTTTTTTAAACTTTAAAATCTTAAGAAGATTCTTGAGATAAAATGACATTTACTTGAGTCAGTATATTTAATTAATGCTGCTCTGATGAGTCATAAGAATCACTGATAAATAGACTACCGTTAACAAGAGAATTTAATTTAATAAATTCTTATTATCGACATATTCATTCATTATTGAATAATTCTAAAGTAATTTTAGCTCCGTTGATGTTTGTTTGTTTTTTAAGAAGTCTTTTGATCATAAAATGCATTCGTGTGAGATGGGTAGTATAGAATTAGTGTTTATGAGTAATACATGATGCAATTGTAGCAGATATTATACTTATCTTCAGAAGCTAATTGATCGATAAGATAAAGTTCAATAATAATAATAGTAACAATAATTCCATTTTATCAAAATAATCCCATAAACTCAGAACATTTATAAAGTAGGATTTGAGTATGTCTACTCTTCATCTACCCAAAATCCATACTTTTCTATCAGTACGATGTATTCTATATTGTGTAAATGTTATCTCCTTTTTTTTGTAAAAGTACAACTGTTATTATATTCATAATAAATTTGATGATGGAAAATATTCGTACTCTTTTTTTGTTCGTCTTGCATCTATTTCTATCAGAGGCTTGCACAGGACAAAAAAGACAATGTTGTCTTGTGTCTTCCTTTGTTTTATAATTATATTTTCCTCTCTGTGATATTTTTGTTATCAAGTACTTTTTATTACTGTATTTTTTGTATTAGTAGTATCTACTATAGGGTTAAGATAATGTTGATAAAATCTCACCAGTTCATATGTTTTTAAATTTATTTCCTGTGCTGAATGTGTCATTAACCAGTTCCGGCCGACAACTAGACGTCAGGTAGCAAACAAATATCCTTCTGCATATTTTTTTTTATTCTCCTATGACGATGATCACAAAAATGCATTTCTTGAGACAAAAAAGTGCTAAGGAATCTAATGGCTTGACGTTGCCATTTGCCAATATTCAGCTACTACGAATGAAAATTTTTCGCAATTCAATTTTCGTTTTCAGATATTAAAGTGCGGTGTTTTACGTTTTTTTAATGTATTCATAAAGTCAATTAAAAAAAGGACACGAATATGTAAAGAATGTTTCTGCTCTTTCCAGATTTATATCAACTTTTTTTCTGACAATATTTAAGTATGTAAGTCTTGTAGCCTTGGTCAAGTCGTGCAGAAACTGATATTTGATTTTGATTCGACTCCGAAGCTAGCTGCCACAACGTAGGCTCAAAGCTCGATTTTATCGAAAACTAGTCTCGAAACCTTACTGTTTGATTCTTTGTGAATGTTCAATTGGAAATTTCGATGTTTAACTATAGGATAGAGGCGTGTCGATGTAGATGAACAGAAGATTCATATCGATATCCACACCTGAATCCGACGTTGTGTTTAAGTAACCATAAATATAAGACTCATTTTTATTATAATGTTTTTGGATTTTAAAAGAGAATATATAAATTTTACAGGCAGTTCAATTTTAGTATAAAGTTCCATTTTTTTCAAATTCCTCTAAACAATGAGTTCTAGAGATTTAGTTCTGAAAGTTATTTTAAATAGACAATATTCTACGGTCTATCTACTGTTTAAATCGAAATTTTTAATGAACATTCATGAAGAATAAAACAGGCTGATGTTGAGGCCTATTTTTATTAAAATTGGCTTTTGAGTCTGCTCTAGTGGGGTTAGCACATGAGTCGAATGAAAACCGAACTATCAGTTTTTGAACAACTTGACATGGGCTAAAAGACTAGCAGCATACTTAAATCTTGTCAGAACAAAAAGTCAACGTAAAGCTGAAAGAAGCTACATGGAAGTTCACATATCCTTAATCGGAATATAGAAAGTCTCTTCTCGTTAACGGGGAGAGGGATATTACTTTCGCAGTAATAGATATATTCCTATGAGAATATGTCGGTATTTTAATTTTGACTTCTGTAGACAGAAATATCTTATCGGAAAACTTTAATGAATATGTGATCAAGCTGTAACAAACAAGATATTTAAATCCTTTGAATTGCTAATGAACTATTCATGTTTTTTCTTTTGTTTAGATTTTTGGAATACCAATATGCATGTATTTTTTGTAATTTATATACTATTTAATTTATGAAGAAAACAACCTGATTAACTGTTTTTATATGAAAATAAGAGAACAGAATATTAAATCTCAAATCTTTGGAAAACTTCATCTATGTTTAATATTGATCAAAACTTCTATTTTTTTCTGTACCTTTTTGAATATAGTTTATTCTTTTTTGACATATATCGTTGTGCACACATGTATGCTGATTTTTTATTTTTCTGAATAATAAAACAATTCCATGTATAATTAGTAATCATTTTTTTAAAATATTTTTTTACTTGAAATATTTCATGTTGTGAAATTTCTATCCATTTTCCATAACCATATTGTTCAACTAATTGATCTAAAAGTTTATCTTCATCATCTGACCATGAAATATTTAATCCATATTGACATCGATGTTTCCACATACGTTTTAATGAAGATTCATCAAAATATTTAAAACCACCTATACTTCTCATTTTTGTTCCAACTAATTTCCAATCAACCTGTTCAATTAAAATCTCTTTTGAATTTCCACTTAATTCATATAATCTTTCAATATCAATTGATTTTTCCATAAATTTTAATTCATATAATTTATTTTTTAAATCATTTTTATTTTGTTCATTTTTACTTCCACGTTCTTCTTCATTTTGTAATTCAAGTTCAATCCAATGTAAAACTATTGAATACATATTTTCTGTAACAATTGGAATAAGTATTCGAAGAAATTTTTCATTTAAAAATTGTTCATGTCGCCATTGAGATATTGTTGTTGATGTTGGTGTTAAGGAACGGTTTGGAAAAACTGTTTCATCAAAATCATCTTCATTTACATTATATGATGATAAATCTTTTTTTAAAGATGATAATGTTTGTGCATCTATATCTTCAAGATGTACATTTAATGAAAGAAGTGCTTTTTGATAACAACTATTGAAAGCTGATGTTAATATTGGTGTATTATTTGATAATGATGGTGAAAATAATTCATAAAGATTAATATCATCAATAAATTTATGATGATCTGAGACCTCACTAGTACTAAAGATAGAAGATACTGTTGAACTCATTTATAAATATAGAAGAGAAGAAAATAGAAAAAAAAATTTTATCTTTTTAAGAAATTGATTACTATTATCACAACATGGTATTTGTTCATTTAAATAAAATTTCCAGACAAATATTTGATTGGATAAAAAAAATAATCCAATGAATAGCAGCATCAATTAATTTTATTTTAAAAGTTTTATTATTTTAAATAAGAATCAATGATGTTTTATTTATAAAAAATAATGTTGCTTTTTAAATGTGATTTTATTTAGTTTATAAAACAGAATTTATGATAGGTCAAATACTTATAACCATTTGGATTGAAACAAACATGCACACGTATATGTATGACTGTTCATTCGGTGTATTCTTGTTTTTGTATTTTCAGCATATTAATCTTAGTTATACACTCATATTCACTCACTTTTTACGTCAGATAGATAAGCTTTTGAAATGTATTCTTATCTGTTTATTTCAACAATATATTGTTCGATTATATATGTTTTTTCTTATACTGATCCATCTGTAACGAATCCACAATTAGTGAAAAGATTTGAATATAAACTATCATTTAAAGGCCCTCATCTTGCATTTAAAGATGGAAGTGTACCGTTTTGGACATTTGGTGGAAGTAAGTTTTATTAACTGAAAAACTATTTTATATATTTATTTATTCTTTTTTTATTAAGGTGCTATTGCTAGTGATGAACAAGTGCGTATTACACCATCGATTCGTAGCCAAAAAGGTTTGTAAAAAAAGACTAGATTTTTGTTTATGAATAAGAAGGAAAGATTTACTTTTTTTTAGGTTGGATTTGGAGTAAAAATACATTATCAGCAAATGATTGGCTTCTTGATATAAAATTACGCATAACAGGACGCGGTCGAGTCGGGGCTGATGGAATGGTAAGAGAATAAATAATTACTTTTCGAAGAGTATGATTTTTTTATGTAAATGAATGCAATGAAGTACTAAATATATCACCGTACTGTACGATTTAGTAGACAGACTGAAAGAGAGAAATGTAAAAATTAAAAGATCATCAAAGTTTACATTAGATAATTACTTAATCTACAATTGTTGATTTATAAAATCTTGAAAGTATTTCAAACCTAAAGAGACTACTATTCTAAATTTTTACAGAAAAATCAATCCATAAATCCAAAGTTTGAGATCTATAGATTCACTCATTCTTTGGATTTGACTTTCTAGCCTTTGAAAATTCACCATCTTTAACCCTAAAATTAATGAAAAGAAATGAATTCTATTATACTTCAGTTTTTTTTTAATTAGGCTATTTGGTTTACGGAAAATCCAGGTGTGGAAGGTAGTGTTTTCGGTTCAAATGATCAATGGAAAGGATTAGGCATTTTTCTTGATTCATTTGACAATGATGCATTGGTAAGTTATATTACTAAGTGTATTTGTTTTTTTGCTCTACTAGAGCCAAAACATTTTATGAAACATTAATAACAAAAACTTATTATTTCGACTTACATTTCAGACTATTCAATTAGTAAGTTATTAATGATAAGAATGTGTCTATTAATGTTTTTCACGTATTGATGTTGTTCGTTTCATAATAATACATTCATTTATTCGTGTTTTTAATAACATTCAATTTGAAAAAAAAAGAGTTGCTCAGTAAATAAGAGTGTTTAATAGATGAATACTTATTTTCACGAAGTATTAATATATCTTCATTTTCTACTGAATGTTGTGTAAAACTAATATAGCTGTATTGCTTTATTCGTTGTTGACTTAAAGTTCACTTGTTCGAATCTACGTAAAAGCGTTGCCATTATTGGGCAGAGTCCTTAGTCTGGCAACAGACAATGATATGTGTCTCTTAATCAATAATGGCAATAATAATATCGGACTGTTAATCCCAGCATGATGACTGTGATCACTTGGCTGATTCATGAGTCCGATACAAAAATCATGATAAGAAAAGAAATTCTATTTGATAAATCGAATAAAGTAAATTTTCTTTTTTCTTTTGACTAGCAAAATAATCCAATAATTGCTGTCATGCTTAATGATGGAACAAAATCGTATGATCATCAGCATGATGGTAGTAGTCAAATTCAAGGCAGTTGTGTTCGAGATTTTCGAAACAAACCATTACCTATTCGGCTTAAAATTGAATATATTAATCAAGGATTAACAGTAAGAAATAGAATAAAAAGATATTTTTCTTATTCATCATGATAGTTTTGCTTATATTACAGATTTATATTAATAATGGAATCTCACAAGATGATAATGCATTTGAATTTTGTACACATATTGATCATATACAATTACCTAAAGTTGGTTATCTTGGTGTAACAGCTGCAACAGGAGGTCTTGCTGATGATCATGACGTTTTGGAACTTTTAACACATACATATTTTGATAGACAAGTATTAGCAAAAGCTCACGCAGCAACTGATGAACAAGCTAGAAAATATAAAGAAGAATATGAAAAATATGAACAAGAACTTCAAAAAGAACAAGCCGAGTTAGTATTTACCTCTTTTTTTTTTGAATGATTTTATAAGTTTATTTTTGTTTATTTAGTTATCGAAAAGACCATCCTGATGCAACAACAACACTTAATGAACAACAATTAGTTTGTATTAAACAAATAGAATTATTAAAATAATAATTTTTTTCTACTTTAGTATGAAACTGAATATGATCGTGAATTTCGTGTTATCTTAGAAGGTCAAGATCAAATTCGTTTATCATTAACAAGTGTTGATAGAAAAATGGCTGAACTTTTGGGACGTATTGAACGTTTAACGTCAACTGATAGTAGACAAGTTGAAGTAAAACATTTTAATATGTAATTATCTCTACGAATTTATTTTCTAGAATGTACCTAGTACTGGTACAAATATACCTGCTGATGTAGCTCGAATTCAAGATATAAATCGAGTGATTAATGCAAATACTGATATGACACGAACTATTCAAAGTTTTGCGTAAGTTATAAAAAGTTAAGTTTTACTTGAAATAAATCTACTAATTGTTTATGAATAGACAAGTATTAACTGATCTTCAACAAAAAGTCAATAATCTACAAACAAATCTTAAAAACCCACAAGTGGTTGGTACAGGAAATCAAGTAGTTGGTTCAAATGTAGATGCAAATATATTAAATGAACTTCGAGATACAATTCGACAAATTAAGTCTGAAACAAATACACTTTTACACAAATCAGTATTATAAAATGAATTTTTTTTTTCGTTTTTCAAAAAAATACAAATTTTATTGTGTTTTAGTCAAATCAAATTCAATGTCCAACTGTTGGTAGTGTAGGCGATTCTTCATGTTTAGGACCGTATACATTCTTTGCAATAATTGCTTTACAAATTGTTATATTTATTGGATATTTTACATACAGGTATGTAAAGAATATGTTTTACTAATATATTTGTTGTTGTTTGTTTTTAGGAAACAACAAGATTATTTTCCACGAAAATATTTATGAAAACTTTTATTATTAGTATTAGTGAATTTTTCTTTGTCTTCATTTATTTAAAAACAAAAAAAGAAACGTCTGATGTGCAATTAGTGCAACAATGAAAGATCAAAATTCATACCGCTGAAGTGACTTTTTTTCTCTTCTGTTCTGTTTATCGTTATTATTTTATTTGTTTAAGCTGAGCATATGTGTGTTATTTTTTCATTTCATACATATTAACAATAAAAAAAAAACCAGTTTGTGTGTTTCACAAAACAAACATGAGAAAAAAATGCATTACTCCAAAGAAAACTTCCTGATTATGTGCGAGATCTGAAAATCAACTCAGTTTTTCTCATGTTTGTGTGTGTGAAGAATCTCTTATTTAAACAACTGTTATCGTTTTATTCTGTATTTCGTTGTTCGTTTTGTTTAGTTCTTTATTTTTCTTTCAACTTTCTTTGACTTAACTATTACGAACAACTATTTTATCGCGTCTTCATATGTGTGATTTATGTTTCATCTTGTTTGTTTGTTTCAAGTATATGACTTACGAGAAAATAAAGAAGATCAATATCTCTTAAACATATTATTGAATATGTTCCAGTGAATGGAATATTATCTTGCTTTTGTATTCGAAAGAAAAATGTTTTGAGATATTTTGAAAAAGAAAATCAATCACTATTAAATGTCTAATATTCTACAAGCTCGTTCTATTAAGTTTCAAACGTGAAAGTCCTTTTCTTCATGTTATACTTATCGAAAGTCCGAGAGAAAAGGAATAGAACGATGTTTCGTCACATGCAATTGATTCTATTTTCTCAAAAAAATCAGTACTTTTTCGATACGATATGGTTTTTAAAATGCTTTACAAAAAGATGCATAAAAAGATTTTTTCATTCTCTCCTTGTTGGTTTTATTCTTTTATAGCAACAGTCGAAAGGATTACTTTTCATTGCATTTTTTTGTACAGCGTCTTAAACTTTTCTAAGAATTCAAATATTGATGATCAAAACTAATTTCTGCATGATGTAACCTAGTTGAAATTTTTTTTTTATAACTTTCCAACCATACTTATTCATAATATGAGTAAAAAAACGTATAAACATAAAAAATCTTTACAACTTTGACCAGAAATCAATCTTTAGAATGGTTTTTTCATCAATTCTGATGTAAAAAAAAACTAATGGATGAGTTTCACCAGAATAAGTTAGAATCTTTATTCGGTTCACAGAAATTTGAGAAATCTAATGAAACTGAAGATTCATTAATGAAAGATGATTTGAAGAAAAATTCTAATGATCGTCGCATGTGATCCTTTCAATTGACACTTGCTATTGATTTTACTCTTCCCTATCATAGACTGTTAAAGGATAGCGCTATCATTTTCTAGTGCTTCGAGAAATAGAATCTAAGTCACGAATGATAAAAAACGGATAATAGAATCTAGTGGACTCCAATAGAGATGCTGTTATGTCAAAGTAGATTCTGCTGCATTTCGTATTAAATAAATTTGAGCTGAACAGAATTCTAGTACATCGAATCAACTTGCCTCCTTTAATACAGT